ATATTAACCTTCAGGTCAAACACCCATTTATCCAGGATCACATAAGCACTAGCAGGCCGGTCAACAACATTATATATTTTTATTAATTTAATCTTATTAATCTGTATAATCATGGCTGTCTTCTAGTACAGAGCAAGCAGTAATAAGATAGTCTCTGTATAGATATTTAGAATGACTACTTTATATTATTTCAGTACAGGCAAGAAAGATAGATTAGATTCCTGCTCCAGTGCAGCCACTTGTTTATTCCCTAGCCATGAAGGACTCTTTTCTTTTATAATATATTATAATCGCCTTGGAGCAGTAGCTTCAGTGTTCATAATAAGTAGTTCAGACTCAGTAAGACAGAAATCTTGCTTTGAATATTTAGTAAACAGTGCCTCGTAATCAGAGGGTTCCTCGATCAAGCAAATCAGATCATGTTCGGTAGGTTCAGCAGAGATTAATAAGGTCTGTATTCTTCCACGTACAGATTTGTTAGCAATGTCATTCTGTACAGAGAGATCCTTAGCAGAGTCTTTAGGGATATTAATCTTTGCAATTACTTCATGCAGAAGGGTGTTTTCAAAATTGATTGAAGTGCCTGTCTCCGGCATGATTAGATCCTTAGGAGTAGACATGGTAGTTACCCTACCGGGGTCTTCGTGGTTATTTCTGTATGTACGATTCTCATAGAAAGTCATGTTTCTTGATTTCTTCATCTTGTTTAAATCAGGATACCAAACTAGATACACATGGCTGTGATCCCTGTTAAATCTGATAAAGTAACCAGTCTCTGCACGGGAAGACATCTTTCTAAATATGATCCGGTTCTCTGTAGGTATGTATTAGTAGCAGCAGCACCCGAAAACGCGTAGGAAATCAAGCGAGACATCAGGATTTGGAAGGTTATAATATAACTAATATAGGTGAATAGGTGTTTATTTAATCTTACTTCCTGCGGGCACTAAGCAGTTCAGGATCTGCGCGGCAAGCCTCACAGTAAACAGCTAGAGATTAGCAGGTAGGCTAGAGTCAAGTATCATGACCCTGCTTATTTAATTAAGTAAACCATTATAGTGTTCTGCAAGACTATTTACTTCGGGTGTTCGAGGAGGCAATATAGTAATTTAAATTTCTTGATCTTCGTGATTCACCTATTCTTTAAAACAGTTGAATTCGCGGCTTCTGTTAAGATACCATACTGTTACATAGCAGCCAACCATATTCTTGTATTTGTTATTCATTCAAATGAGTTCTGTAGAAGTATTATTCTTCTGCTTCAGCATGGCTGTTTATACAAGATAGGTAGTATTATTGACTATGATTAGGAAGTATTTAAATCCTCTGTATCTGATTGGGGTTATTTACTGTATGTCAGTATACCACAGTTAGATAGGATCAGCGGTCTTTGGAATAGGGTTCCTGAATATTAATTATTTCACTTTCCCTAGGGAGCATGTCTCGCAGTAAAGGTCCTCATGGTATTTAAGTTCAATTTATTGATTTTTCATAGTGGAGGCAATCTTGTGGAATCCTGTATAATTATATTACTGGTGTAGGAGCAGGAGATCCACTACAGCGAGAGCTAATTCTGCATCCTCTATATACATAAAAAACATATTTTTATATGCTTGCAAATAGCCTATTATTTTATTATCCTGTTTCCTGCGTAGGGTCAGGTCCTTTGTATTCATGTATATTCTGAATTCCTTGCATAGGCGGTCTGCTGAAAGAAGGCTGTAGACAAGGTCCAGCTGGTAAAATACTTTGATCTTGATCTCGAGGTGTTTGTTATTTATAGATAAAAACAAGGTCTGGTAGCCAGCAGATTTAGTAATACTAATATATTTGTCAGATATTCTGTATTTGTAGAAGTTAGAGATATTAAGTTTATAATATTTATTAAGTAAGATATGGTCAGGGGTCAGATGCTGAGAGCTTCCTGTATTATAAATCCAGTGTAGAAAGGGGTCAGTGGTGCTTCTAACTGCCAGTTCTAAAAAATTTAAAATATATAAATTTTCATTATCTGACTTTATTTTATACAGAGTAATGTGTTGAGCAGGTATTTCTATTATCTGCCTTGCAGGTGCGGGTGCAGGTACTACTGCTTTAAAATTATCTTTAGAATCTGACTTCTTGCTGTGCTTGTTATTGCTTTCTTAGTAGAACCAAATATCTAAGATATACAGGATCTAACCCGCTAGACATGATTCAGGATTAATATACTAATATTTTAATGGTTTATAATCTTTTGATCTGTAATATCCGCAGCTGCTGTCAGTATTTACTGATCTTTTCTGTATCTTTGCAGTATGGTCCTTAGCAGAAACACCTTTTTCTGGGAATATAACTGCCTTCCACTGATCTTTGGTAGTATCAGGCTTGTTAGACAGATTCTGGTCTTTACCCTTACTAACAGCGGCAGTATTAAACTCTCTTATTTCAGATCTTTTACACTTCTCTAGGACACTCCTACACAGATCACGGAATTGCTCTTCTATATAGATTTAACCTGTGTTTTCTAGAATTAAGTATTCCACGGTCAACATCCATATAGGAAATTCTGACTGCAGTTTATACATTATCAGGAGGCTTGCCACGAACAGAGAGATTAAGTAATTAAGCTCCACAGTTATGTTGTACGCCTCCATGAAATCATTAATATATTGGCGTGCAGTAGAGTAATTGGAATGCATGCTTCTTGTTAGTTTCATGATTATTAATTGATATTTCATAACACCGTGGCCCAGCACGATGGAGTGAATCAGTTTGAACGCGTTATTGATATATTTTTTTTGTTCTCTTTAAATTTTCTGAATTATTTTCCCACTTTCTCTCCCAGCTGCCCGACTAGGTAGTCAGTTACTGTTATTGAATAGTTGTGCCATGCTGTATATTTTGCGTGTGTGGTAGCAGGTCTGGGTAGCTTCAGATTAATCAGATTCTCTAATCCGGTATTCCTAAATACATACTTCAAGTAGAATTCCCAGTCAGTATAATTGGAGTATCCTTTCAGCAAAATCAGCAATCCAGATAGGTCTTTCGGAGGGGTTGTCAGCAGCTAATTTACTTGAATTGCTGCTTCCGTAGGGTTCACCTGGGTCAGGAACATCTTCTTAAATGTAATACTTTGTCCCACCGTATGTGCTATGGCACTAAATTAGTGTGCTTGGCACGGGTAGATCTGATAAAGATATTAAGTAGAGCATCTTTTTTTTTTTTTAATGTAGTTAGGTATTCGAATTAGATATTTAAATTGGATTGAGATAATTCTCCAAGACCAGTGTATCCCTGTTCATCCCTACCATTTATAGGAGCCGTAGGCCCTCCGCTTCGTTTGGGGTCAGGATCCGTGATATAAGGGTCTGAATAGCTTTACGGGAGAGAGTCCAGGCTCATAACCTATTGAGGCACGTGATTATTAGCAAAGCAACAAAACAGCGAAAGCAAGTAAACAAACGCGAAAAAATGCAGCAAAAGTGTGAGTTGAATTAGTAGCTATCTAGGTGATCTAGTAAACAAAGCGAGAGGTCGTTTGTGGGCGGCCTGAGCGCCTGGCACGTGACTTCGCCTACTCCAGCAGATGCCTCGACAGTATCTAAGTCTATGGTCCGGGTCAGAGTGCTAGAAAGTATAGCCGGTGACAAGTGGACAGAGGCAAGTGGGATGTTAACGGCCACATGGCATATTTTCTTTACAATTTGGGAAGTGAAAACCTCGACCGCCAGGATAGTGTATCTCACAGGAAGGACCATAGTCTCGATGAGATGGATAAGAAAACGCTCGGGCAACAGTTGCGAAGCGAACTTTGATACAGTGTGTCAACAATCCGAGTAACCTCGTTTGCCAATTCATACTGAACACCAGAAAATCTGCCTACTTCATCTCTCAAGACAGATGATCGAGCGTTGGCTTGGTACGGCAGTAATCTTACAAGGCAGTCTGATGCTACCCAATGAGTACAGTATTTGGCCTTGCAGAGGTTTAAGAGCTGGTTTGAGTTGCCTTGTCCGTAGAGTAGACTTGGTTCTTTTGCGCTCATGATTTGAGTATATTCGAGCCCCTATGGCAGTCTGCTGTCATCGCCACCACTATGATGTTTCAAGCCCACCACCGTGAACCCCGAGGGGAGGAAGCCAGAAGTTGCAATAATTTTCACATACTCAATAGTACTAAGCGCCGAGCAAAGCGTTGTTGCCCCCGGTTTCAGTACAAATTAGGCTGTGGCGTAAAGAATAGCAAGATGGAGAACCGGTGTTGTTCAATTATACCTAGAGCTTGAGAACTATGCAGGCCCTGCGCCGTCCACGCAAGACTATAGTCCTGGACACCATCATCCAATAATTAAAATTCGCAGGAACTAATGCATTATGCAACCCAAAAGGGATCAACGTAGAAAAGGTCAATAACGGAGAGCGGTATACATGCTCCAAACATGATATTAACCCTACAGGTGTCGCAACTGACCACCCAGTTGCCTGTGGGTCTGCATCCTATGTCTTCACTTCCAGCCACTTGTCACTTCCTAGCCGTAGGTTCCTGCAGATCTGATTAACATAGCCTTCTCGGATGACTACAAAAGTGCTGTAGTCGAGCCGTTTGCGCATCATTCAACGCCTATCCCCGAGACTCCTGGTCTAGGATGGGGCCAATGCAAATTTAATTTGGTTAAATTGCCCAATCAAGGCCGAGGATCTTTGCCGTCACGAAACAAGAGTACTGCAGCTGCTGTACTTAGAAGGGACGTGCGTACCACAAACGCATCCTTAATTGTTTCCCCTTATCTTACCCCGCCGCTGAACTACCGAACGAGGCTAGAGTTCTGCAACTTCTACTCTGTAGTCACTCGGCTTTTATAGTACTTTTATATCTAATCCCTGGCTGTATCTCAAAGTAATATGTGTGGCAAGCTTATCGTTCCGATTAAGATCTCTTGCCTTTTTATATGACAGTTACACATTCCAATTCTTCTTAGATCCCCCTTTGCCGCTGGCCATTAGTTCAACCATCACATTATGCGCCTCCTCAATGTGAAAACACTCAAGCTGGAGTATTTCTATGGATCAGTTCCCGCATATGCTATTCTGTCGCATACGTGGGGAGCTGATGACGAGGAATTGTCATTCGACGATATTGAAGATGGACGTCTCCAAAAAGGAGCTACTATGCCTTACAAGGTCGCAAAGTGTTGTGCACAGGCAGAGAAGGATGGCCTCAATTACGCATGGGTTGACACTTGTTGCATCATAAAGGTTGACCCTACAGAGCTCGGTGAAGCCATCAATTCCATGCTTCGATGGTACAACGAAGCAGCTATTTGCTATGCCTACCTGGCAGATGTCAGCTCTGGAGAGAATGGGCGTTTCCCGTTGACTCAATTCTGCTCCTGTCGCTGGTTCAAAAGAGGCTGGAGGTTGCAAGAGCTACTGGCACCTGATAACCTTCGCTTTTATGATTCTCGCTGGCACTACCTTGGAACAAAAGCAACCAGGTCAAGCACGATCGAGCGAAGAATAGAAATTCCGCGTCGCTTTTTGCAAGGGACGGTGCTGAGTGAAGCAAGTGTTGCACAACGTATGTCCTGGGCATCCAGGAGAGAAACAAAAACGGGAGGAAGACATCGCATATTGTCTTCTTGGGATATTTGATGTAACAATGCCAATGGTCTACGGCGAGGGTAGCTATCGTGCGTTCACTCGCTTGCAGCAAGAGATAATGAGAAAGTCGAGGGGTGAATCTATGCTAGCTTGGGGCTTTCAAGCCACTGAACAGAAAGCGGCCGATTCGAAAAGTACCAGCATATCTGCAGGTGTCCTGGAAGCATCCCCGGCCGACTTCATGAATTGTGGAGATATTGTCCCACAAAAGAAAAAAGCTAGCTTTCTGACCGCAGTTACATTCGATGGCGGATACGTCCGTATTAGTCTCTCTCTCTTCTCAGCATTATCTGGTGAGCAGTTCGGACTGCTAAATTGCGGTCCGCAGAATAACCGTGATGAGGTGGTAGGGATACACCCCTTGCTAGTGATACGCCCTCTGACAGGTACCTTAGGCCGCAAGGGCGTTGTTCAAGCTTGTTTCCAGCGCAAGAATCCGGTGCCCCAACTCAGCCTGTGTTTATTCAGACCGAGCGGCAGAAGAACACATCCACGGACCCCAGTCCATCAAAATACTTCTTCCTTGACGATCCTGTTGAGATAGGGTTGGAGTTGATTGAGGTTGAACCGCCAGAATGTTGGTTGAAGGAACATGCTCTTATTGCAACATCGAGCGACCCTAATGTCGATAGTATATACAACGAACCTGGACTCGGTTTCGACCTGAAGGTAATCGAGCCCATGATTTCCTGGTACTTCTAGAGTTCCAAGCGAAGAGATCGCAATTCCAGGCTCGATGCCACATGATGACATCCGCCAGAAATACGCCCTTGGCGGACTTAGCCCAGAGCGCTGGTCGCTTAAGGCAAGATGCATTCGGCAAAAGAAGCGCCAGCGACGGTACGCTTAGTATCCAGGCAAGCGTGGAACGTGATAGTCTGCAGAAGATATTTGTGTTGAAACTGGCCACAATGGCAAGTCCACCTAGCGTCACTGTTGATACTACGTTTGAGTTAGAGGAACTGATGCTTAAGCTTGAACTGGAGAGCTTAATGAAGGATGAAGATAATGTTTGTGGTGAAGCAGGGAATATCAACGAGCAGGAAGTGGAGGCATCTTCCTCGTTGGAGTTTGCCAAGGCAAGCTTGGCTAAGATAGAAGAAAAGTTGGTACGGTTGAATGAGCTGAAGGCACGATTACTCGAAGTAGTCAACAGAACTTCACAGGGTTCGGTTCAGACCTGTCCTTGAGCGGAAGAGATTAGACAACGGGGAATCATGTTGTCCGAGCGCAGGCGCTCACTTGTCGGGAAATTAGACGATCGGAAGCAAACAGCCCTGGAAAGTGGTTATGGTCTGCCTCTGCATCAGACTTTAGGCAAGGAAAATAAAGCTCTTGGTTCCCCAGCTGGTCAATCAATGCCGCACAGCACCCCTTCAACAATGTATTCTGGTTGGATTCTGGGGGAGGAAGAACCGATGCCGTCTGACTCCAAATTGGTAGACAGTGAGGCCAAACTGGCAAAAGATATTTGAAAAATGGTCAAAGATGATACATTTTGGAACCGATTCTTCAAAGATAAAGAATTATTCGTGGCACACCTCGTCAAGAAAGCCATATATTTGTATTCGGACTATAACAACACAATTGGGCCCCAAAACATTGTGCTCCTATCAATCAGGATTGCTATGTTCCAACAAGTGTTCTACTGTGGTAAGTTATTGCTAGCTTCGAATGACCAGTATCTATCTAACATGTTGCTCAACTCTGCGAACTTTTTCAGATGACTGCCCTGTAAAGGAGTATAATAATCGCCGGGACGCCCAGACAGAGTTCGTCAAGCGAATGACCGAGGCCACAACCAAGATTCTCCCTCACGGCAAAGGGGTTGCGCTGCGCTTCATCAATCACGACGCCGATAACGCCTCCAATCTAAACTCTGAAGGTATACAGAATATCATGGAGTCCCTGCCACTTGGGTCCTTGGGGTACACTGCCATTGTTAAGAATTTGAGGTCTAAGGTTTTAGAACCTCTAGTGAATGAAAAGATTGAAGACCGGAGACTTGACAGGCCGCTGATCATAACCATCACCATTGGCCGCTATTTGGAGTTTAGAGCTGAGTCGGAACTTGCTGGCGCTATAATAGAATGTGGTAAAAAGCTACACGACGCTGGGTATGCCCGCAACTGTATGTGACTTCCGCCCTACATTGTCTCTCCCACATCATTATATCCAGCCGATGTTATGCGCTAACCGGAGCAATTGACAGCTGTGAAGCTTTTAATTGTCTCAATTGGTTGGAGTAGAGTGACCATGGAATTTCTCGAACGCCTCCAAAGCAACCCGGACATTCGTCCTGTGATTGCCGGTGCTGATAGTAGTCGTGGTAGGCCGCATGCCCTGTTTCCCATTACGAGTTGTACAGTTTCTCACTTATTTGGTGGCCCAAGGTGGGTACACTATGGATTATTTCAAGAATATAGATGAAATGGAGTGGGGATTTAAGGTGAGCTTTTTTACTCTATTCGTCTATTGCTTATACTTTCCTTGTTGGCCGGCACTGACAGGTATCTTCTTCAGGCAATCAAGTTCCTGTCCCACTTTATCGAGAATGGCAACTAAGTCCCTATAAGAAAAGCCTTCTTCATCAATCTGTATATGTAGGGCATACCGTAGACGGTGATAGTGTCTAGGGTTACATCAAATTTATGAGCGCTCTTAGCAATAAGCAGGTCCGTTAGCCTTGATTGGCGTGGTTCCCGCCAAGCATTAGGACGCGTCGGCTTTCGCCCCTTGATCAGTTGCTATTTATCATGATGTTAACGCCCGACTACAAACAGCGATGATGAAATGACGAGAATACTAGGGACTTCCATTAAATCTTACCCATAAAGATGGCTCGCTTACCGCATGCCGTCAGATGTCTTGTGTCCAACCTCACATTCAACGCCCACTCGCCTCTGTCCCGAGGTTATCTCAGATGTTACCCCCAGTCATTGTGTAGATGATCACAGTGCATGAACCGCAGAGCAATGTCGACCTCATCTTCTGCTCAAACGGTACCGCGCATATTTCCGACCTCGGGATTCGAGATTCTTGATCCGGCAGAGGCTATTGAAGAAGAGACTTTACCAACCTACAATGCTGAGAAATACTACCCCGTTCGCCTCGGGGACATTCTGCACGGTCGATATCAGGTCGTTGCCAAGTTGGGATATGGTGTCACTTCTACAGTCTGGCTCGGTCGCGACTTAAGGTAGGCTTCTTATGTCCTCGGTCGGCCCTCTCGCAATTCCTACCCTGTTACTGATTAAACACTCTCAGTGATTCTAAGCATGTCGCTTTGAAAATTTATGTCACTGGTGTGGAAAGAAATCACGAACTTGATGTTTATGATCGCATAGGTGCTGTTGAAACAGACCATGCGGGTCAAAATCTTATTCGTAAACTATGGGGGCACTTCTTCCTAGAAGGTCCTCATGGCCGTCACATGTGCCTCGTGCATCAACCACTTGGTCTTAGTGTTAATCAGTTTTTATATTTCTTTCCTGGAAGAGTGATGAGACTTGACGCCGTGAAGCCCTGCATGCGACAGGTATTAGGTATAGTCGATTTCCTACATACTGAAGCGCAGGTCATACATACTGGTATAATTTCGAGCAATCCTAACCATCGTACATCATGACTGACAGTCCTAAAGATCTACAATTAAAGAATCTACTACTTCCGGGTGACCCAAAGAATTTCTCGGGTCTTGAGGATTCAGAGATTGAGGCACCCTCGCCAAGAAAGTTGCTTAGTTCTGAGCGCACAATCTACACCAGCCATATTGTTGTCCCCGGCAATGGATTGCCATTGCTCAGTGACTTTGGAGAAGCTCGCTTCACCGAAGAAGAACATGACGAGGATATCATGCCAAATCTCTACAGGGCCCCCGAAGTGGTGCTAAAGATGAATTGGGATAGCAAGGTTGATGTGTGGAGCATTGCCCTGATGGTGAGAGATTATGCTTATTGAGGTCATTTTTCATGTAGTTTATATTTACTTTCATGCAGGCCTGGGACATGGTTTGTACCCGAACACTATTCGATGGTAGAAACAGTGATGGTATTTTTGATGATCAAGTCCATCTTGCGGAAATGGTTGCGATTATGGGACCACCTCCCACTGACTTCATTAAGCGAAGCAAAGTAGGCTCGGTATTTTGGGATGAGAATGGTATGTTGCCAACTGAATCAGCTATTTGACATGAAGCTTCGGCTAAAATCTACATTCAGGCAAATGGAAGGACCTTGCACCGGTGCCGAAGATGACACTTGAGGAACGGGCGGCTGATATCCAAGGACCTGACAAGGAAGCATTCTTGAAACTTATGCGAAGAGCATTAACATGGGACCCCAGGGACAGACCAGCCGCAGGAGAATTGATATTTGATGAGTGGCTTATGAAGGGATTGCAGCTTCCGGCTCATCTGTCGAAGGAAACCTAGTTGTGATCGAATTTCTTCTGCTGGATTAAATGTAAAGTGTTAATACTGGCAACTTATACATCTTACAGCGCACAAGAGGAACTCTTTTTATCTGTATATCTGAAGGCGTAGTTGGGCATTTAGATAGTCTAGTAGGTGCTTGATAAGTGAAAAGTGGAGCCGGCGGAAGAGTTGGGGAAAAAAAGACCGGGCTGGTGCCTGAGGATCCGGAATCCAGAACGGCTTCCGCATTTGGGATTCTCGTTCTTCTTTCCGCCGACCAACCGTTCATCCAACCTCACCTCAGTTCCAGCCATCATGTCGTCCCGCACCGTCTGGAGGAGCCTCCAATTGCAAGCCCGGAGACGATTTATTGTCCCGGAGACACCATACCGCTGTTTCTCCTGCACACGACGTGCCCAGGACCCGCCCAAGTTCAACCAGGATGATCGCATGACCCATTTCGGCTTCCAAAATGTTCCTGAAGCGCAGAAGGAGTCTTTGGGTAGGTTTATCTGAATTAATTTGCATCCATATGCTTGAAGAAAGAAATTGTATACTAAGGCTTGTGCCAATGTCTAGTGGGAGCCGTCTTCAGCTCCGTTGCCTCGTCCTACGATGTGATGAACGACATGATGTCGCTGGGCATCCATCGCCTGTGGAAAGATCACTTTGTCCGCTCTCTCAACCCCGGATCCGCACTCCCCTCTCGCGAACACGATACGGCCGGCCGTGGTTGGAACATTCTCGATATCGCCGGCGGGACGGGCGACATCGCGTTTCGCATGCTGGACCACGCGACGAACATCAACAATGACCACGAGACCCGCGTAACGATTGCCGATATCAACCCGGACATGCTGGCGGAGGGTCAGAAGCGCAGCGTGCAGACGCCTTACTACAACACAAACCGACTGTCGTTCATGCAGGGCAATGCGCAGTCTATGCCTTCCATTCCGGATAACTCGGTTGACCTCTACACTGTTGTTTTCGGTATCCGCAACTTCACGGACAAGCAGGCAGCCCTGAACGAAGCGTTCCGTGTCCTGAAGCCCGGTGGTGTGTTTGCTTGTATGGAATTCAGCAAGGTCGACAACGCCCTGTTCAATGCGGTCTACAAGCAGTGGAGTTTCAGCGCCATTCCCATGATTGGTCAGCTGGTGGCCGGTGACCGGGACAGCTACCAGTACTTGGTGGAGAGTATTGAGCAGTTCCCTAGCCAGGAGGAGTTCCGCGGCATGATCCAGAAGGCTGGCTTCATGATCCCGGGACGTGGCTTTGAGAATCTGACTGGGGGAATTGCCGCTATCCACAAGGGTATCAAGCCGCTTAACCGGGCTTAAGAGGGGCAACTAAAAGGATGGATGGATGAATTGTTTCAGACAGTGTACACTAGCATTATCTTTTCGCCACTGTAATAATATTGATAGTCAAATATTGACATGGAAGACAACTGAGCGTGTCCGGAACGGCAGCGGGGAATGGATCTGCAAGACATCAGCAGCGTTGCGGATGGTGTGATGGCGGATTCCGAATGGCCGGGCGGAGACCGACTAAGTAGGGGTATAAAACTTAGAAGAGCGTAGAAGGATGCATGCGTCGGGATCTAGAAGGTGGTGCAAAAGGAAGACCAGATTTCATTCCTAATCGTTCGGGGAGGTGGTCAGCTCTAGCAAGCGGATTGGAGAAGGATATCCGATCCGAGGCAACTTTTCTTTATCTCTAGATAATCCTATCACCGAAATCAGCCACCCGGACTTTCCCTTCCCTCCTCTCTTCTTCCTCCCTCCTCCACTTTTTTTGTTCTGTTTTGCCCCCCACCATCGGATTTCTCCTCCTTTCCCCTCCTCAACTGCGTCTCCAGGTTCGCGTCCGGGATCTTTCTTCCCAGGCTTACCTCCTGGGAGAAAGTCGCCGTCTCACTCTCTTTCCCTCTCTTTCTCTCTCCCCCACAGAATGGTTTCATGACCATGGGGCACCTAAAGCAGCCATTCGCGATCCCGCTGTCGCCCGCCATGCCCCTCCCGGAGTCCAACCCCTCCCTCCACGATGATTTCCTCCTTCCGATGACTCCTCCAGATCCCTCCGAAGTCCCGCTAATGGGAGCCAAGGACACTGCGCCCGTGGCTTCAGCCCTGCAGGTTATCGCGGCGGAGCGCGCCGCTCTGGCGCATCTGGAGCACATTTACCAGACCGATCCGTTGGCTCAAGATAACCTCGCGCGCGCGGTGGCTCAGATCGTGCGCACCATCAAGCATGGCGGGAAATTGGTCTGCTGCGGTGTCGGCAAGAGTGGCAAGATTGCTCAGAAGCTGGAAGCCACCATGAACAGCATGGGGATCTACAGTGCCTTTATGCATCCCACGGAAGCCTTGCACGGCGACCTGGGCATGATACGACCGGTAAGGATGTTCTGGTCTATATGTGAGGGTGAACCACACACTGACTGAAACTGAACGCACCAGCATGATACACTATTGTTAATATCTTTTTCGGGCCGTACACCGGAGCTTCTGCTCATGCTCCCTCACATTCCTTCAACCGTCACGGTTATCGCCGTTACTTCTCATATGGTCTCGTCGACTTGCCCTCTGCTATCTTTCCACCCCTCGAACATGGGGATCCTCTTGCCGGCACCGATCCACGAGGATGAAGAGACCTCGATCGGCGTATGTGCCCCGACCTCGTCCACCACGGTAGCCCTATCGCTGGGAGATGCACTGGCTATCGCTACGGCCCGGCGGCTACATACAGCCCCTGGTAGAGGGCCGGCGGAGATCTTCAAGGGCTTCCATCCTGGCGGGGCTATCGGCGCTGCGTCCATGGCTTTGACGCCTATGAGCATGTCATCCGCATCAAGTTCTGCCGCCCCATCAGACTATATTCCAGCCCAACAGACCATGAACTCATTCCCGCAGTCAGACGGCAAACCCAATCAGCGTCCACTCGTCCGTGACATGCTCGTGTCACTCGATTCAATTCCCAGGGTGTCTGCCTCGGGTAAAGTCCGTCTTCTGGACATTCTCCTCACTGCAATCCAGCACCCCAACGCCAAGTCATGGGTTCATCTCTCACCGTCCGAAATCGTGCCCCCACGGCATCTCCGCTTCGTCTCCCAGAGCAACTATGTAGATATGCACGTTTCTGCCTTCACTGAACTGGGTCTACCTTTCGGCGTCTCCCGCAAGGACTGGTTCCGCCTTACGAGCTCGAGCACTATCGATGACGCGCGCCGGCTGGTCTCCGAGGCCGGTGCGTCCTCAGGCACCCCCGTGACCGTGGTAGCCGTCATGGAAGATACTAACCCCGACCACTGTCTCGGGGTCATAGAAGCTGAGGATTTATGGAATGATTGTGATGACTAAAATATATTTATATCCCCTCCCCACTTTGAACCTTCTGATGATGTATATGAACTCATGCCTGATTTTTGTGTGTCCTTTTGCCTTTTGTCTTATAAATATTCCGTTTCAACCGCAATAGATAGCTTTGGGGACATGTATTCCCTACCTGGAATGGGTTTGTCTGCTGGTGGGGTATGTCATTATGTTGCAACCTCAGCATGTTTTCAATCTTCGACTTTTCGGCTTGTCTATATTTCTCACTTACATATTACTACTATTCTTGTGGGAACCCTGTTGCTGTCCATACCCACCTTCATACATACAACTTCAATCACTCCGCGTTCTTTGTGGATTGAGTATAGAAGACTTATCATTCTTACTAGTTAGCACTAGATACCCGATCTCTCACGATCATGACAGCAGGAAAGGAAAATGGTACTTGTTTTGTTTGTTTGTCCGATCTCAAGTCTAATTCTACCATCATCTTTGTAGGTAATCATCTAACGTATCGGTACACATATCTCAAATGAGCCAGAAGCCAGGATAAACAGGGTATAAACATCATCGAGGGGACATGATAGCAGCACACAAAAAGCAGGCCGATAAAAAAAGGAGGGAGGCAGAATATTAATCTATGGTATCTTCAACGCATTACTCGTAGCACTGCGGAACGCCTGATATAATCAAAAGGACATAGCATCAAAACATGACCTGAGTTCTTTTCTTTTGGAAACCGACGTCCACCATTATAGGTGGGGAATAAGGAAGGGGGTTGTTCATGTCCCGCTTTACCGTGGTATCCGTGCCCGATCGGAATCAAGGGGCGCGGACGTCACTGGAGTGGTTTATCAAGCACATTTTGAAAGAGGCAGGGTAACAAAATGACGAAGAGAGAAAGAGAGAGAGAAGAGGTCTATGTTACAGCGGGGGATGTGATGACGACTCTGGCACCGGGCCGAGGTATCCCGCGCGGTCTTTGAACTGGGTATCTCAATGAGTTCATGAGACGACCGGGGCTGACTCTGTTACAATGGATGCCCATTTGTTCTCTTTCTCTCTCTTCTGCCTGTGCTCGAGTCTTCCTGTGGTGGTGAAAGCGGAACGACTCGGATAGTTCGTTTCAAAGCGGGGAGTGGAAATCACCGGAAGGCGATTCACCCCGACGATCCGGGATCTTGTCGGCCTTTGCCCTTGTCGGTTGATGCTGTGCTGTCGTCCTTGTAGAGGTTGTGTTGTTCGATATAATGGATTACAGGGACGGGAATCAGGTACCGGACGCTCATGTCACGTCTCAGGAACAGACGGATCTTGGTGCTGCTGACGTCATTTTGGATGAGTTGTTGAATGACATGGATGTTTTTCTTCCACGTTTGCAGGGCAGCGAGCGCTTCGTCAATGTCGGTTCCGGTGCGTTCCACGATGAAAGTCTGGGAAGGGAATTAGCGAAAATCCTAGAATTTGGGATAAAAGGTGGCAAGAAACATACGCCGTATTTTCCGAGAATGTGGTCAAGATCCTTTTCGCTCCAGACTCCAGGAGTTGACATGGTATGGACCAGATCTGCACCTGCCAGCAGAGCAATCTGGATGGGCTTGCGAGTACCATTGCCGGCCTCGATGCCCTGTCGTACAGTGTTGATCTCATGATCGAAATGGTCCAACACCACGGCTGTCGGTTGGTACTCCTTCTGCATCGGTTCCCACGTATCAACCATCAGCCAGTCAGAGGTCTGATCCACGGCGAGTTGGCACATAGCGACACTGTTGAATTCATTGCAGTTAGCGCATGAACGAAGGCGGATGGTGCGGAAAGTACGTTTGGTAGGATGGTAGGGTGGGACATGAGTGTCTTACCGATGTTCAGCGCTAGCCAGACCGGCCTTACGATAGGCGTCAGACACGGGGGATAGGTAACCCCCGACCAGCTCAAAGTCCGTGCTGAATTTGACATAATCGGCGGCCATTTCGAACATGCGCAGGTGCAGGTAGGTGATGGGTGAGAAGGAGCCACAGGCCACCAAGAGGAGCGGCGTCTTTTCGGGGTCGTCCATTGTGCGCTTCAGACGAAGCTCCGGGAAGGTGTAGTCGTCCATCGGAGCCGGAGGCAAAGGCGAGGATCGCCGGTGGACATCGTCACTGATTGCGTCGGTCATGGTTGCAGATGAGAGGCAGAATGGTGTCCCAGAGTGGTGGGAGAGGCTGGGAGGGACCAAATCTGGCCCAAAATCGATGGAAATCGGTTGGGAGAATGAGTCGGAGACAGACGGAAGAGAGATCAGGAGGGATGGAATGGCGAAGAGAGGTGATATGGACGGTGGATGAGATTTGAGTTCGCCGGTAAAAGGATGGGATGCGGGCGCAGGGGGGTTAGTCAGCGTGGGGGAAATGCAAGAGGCGGGCGGGGAAGAAAAAACGACCAAGACGGATGTTCGGTGTGCCTCGGGGCGCGATCACATCATCATCAATTTCACCGTATCGAGCATTTACCACCGAGCCCCATCTTACTTACTCTTATAGTATTGTCCCGCATCCTGGACGCGCGGGCAATCATGGTGTGCCTAGCAGGCTGTCAGTTTCCCTCCTAGCTAACCTGGAGTGTCTGACTATACATTGTATAATTGTCTAGCGAATCTCCCAAAGTGGTATATGTCCGTCACATACCCACATACCCGGTAACCGGCTATCTATCTCTCCATCGATCGGGCCCAGCACAACAGCCTTGTGAGGGGGTACTTGATGTCTGTCATCCATCCTATTTCACTATTCTACCCCTCAAGGGCCGGTCTGGAAGGCATCCCTTTAATTAATCTCCCTGCAGGATTCTTCTCTCCCAAGCCAGTCATCTCCAATCCACACTTCCTATAACAGTTGTTGGCAGACATCCCCCAATTGATGGAAATGGAGCGAGTCACCATCCCCCTGGCGACAGTCCACTCACTCCGCATGGTTCGGGAAGAACTGCTTTGCCTATCTACTCCATACACGGGCAGAATTACCCTGTCTTGCCGCAAGATTTTCCCAAAAGAATCTAGGTCATTAAGGTGGAGACCAGCCCGACGCTATAGCCGTTACGGTGCTGTCTATGGCTCCATTAGGCATAACTATCATCCTCCTCAACTCTTGCATGCATCGTGAATTAACTGTGGATTAACGGAATTAAAGCTGTTCACACATCCGACCGGGTAATCAATCCGAGGCACGCACGCGATAAGATTCAATGAACCCCCCGCGCAGATGCAGTCATCTGCAGTTCTGCACTGGGTGGAATGTCACAGATGTGATGCTCTGATAGGGAAAAAAATGCAGATCATGGCAGTATGGCGCAACACCAAGGTACTTACCGAGAAAATTTGCCAGCTCTCTGCATCGATCAGGAGGAGGCAAGCCAAGTGGTCTGTTCGCCTATCTGCAGTTTTCTCATATCATACATAAAGTACCAGATAGGCATGATTATTGTCATTATCACTGCCCCTCAGGTAGCCAATTATAACTTATAAATAGTGTCAAGGAGTATCAGCAAGGGGCCTGTCACGCTACCCATCTACAGTATGGATTTCATGTCAATGTAGTGATAGTAGGTATTACTGAAGATTTGGTGATGACACCGAAGTGGTAACCTCCCGATGTCTGTGGATTGCAACATTACTATTACTAGTGGTAGGGAGATAGCCCAAAGCGGGATATGCATTTGCCCGTTCAAGTCCGACCACAGGCTACATCAACAACGGACATGGTTGATGGCTACTGAAGAAACCATATACATTTAGCGGGGCTGCAGCAGATTAACGTGAGGATTACTGATATATACAGCCATTCTAGCCCTTTGGTCCTTGGCTACTGGGATGGGTCATGTTATTAATCAGCTTCTACTGCAGATAACTAACTACTGGACACACAAGAGTACATGAAGAGGTCAAACCCTGTTGACCGCGTTGGTCCAGGTGAACTAGTTAGATAAATTCTCCAGGTTAAAATTGTGGTTTATTCCGCACCGAAAACCCCAACAGTTTGGGGCTTTATATAGGAAAATGCCGTAACCTCTCTCTAGTGGTGGTTGAGGCTGCACTTTGGCTGTCTGACGCCTTCCGGACTGGCTTCCTCAGGCCGGCGTCACTCACCACCGCCAACCACGTCAATCATCTTCCCCCCCAAACTCCGTCCTTCACCATCACCTCATCCACCACCACTTCCTCTGTTCTCAACAACGACCCTTACGATCATCTGCACTTTCTGGTATATATTATTAATTGATCACTCCCTTGTTACCAGTGAACACCTTTGTTCTCTCAAGTATCGCCCCCTTCACGTCCTCCCCCCGATCGGCCGTCCCTCAGCTACAACCCTCCCCCGGATCGTCGACGGAACCCAATTCGCCATTCTACCCACGCTCTGGTCAACTTCCCTAGGGTAACGGATGGCGGGTTAACGGTGACAAGTGACGAGCGAGCCCTCCTTATCTAGCTCTCGTTAGCAATCGACATATGGCCAGACACAGGCCCAGTGCTCACCGCCAGGACCCTCTTGAGGACTCTTCCACTCAGCCAACCTCTGCTGGACCTTCCGCCACTGCCGCTAGGTACATACTTGATCTCTTTGCCCTTCACTCTTTGGCCCTGTGCCCTGTGACCTGATCTTGGATTCTTTCCCCTCGTTCGTGGTACCCCCGCAAGAGCCCGTTCCCTACAGGCCTGTCCAACTGTTTGGGTGGATGGAGAGCTCTACCCACCAGCTGCGTACTCGACGGGAACCATCACCGTCATAATCGTTTGCTATCTGGGTCGGGTGGGAATTCCCCTCATCACACTACAAGCTGTTTTCATCTTCATCCTGATCGCACACACGACACTCTCCACCTCTGTCCCACCCACATCCTGGAAGTGAACGTTTTCTCATGTCCTCCAGAATAACTCGCTCCGCCGCGAGAGTAGCTGCAGACTCTCTTCCGTCTACCGGCTCCGGTCCCTCTCCTGCGAACGCGGCCGCTGGTTCGGCTTCAAACCGGAAGCGAAAGGCCCCTGCGCGACGTGATCGATCGGTAGACGCCCCGGAACAATCAAACCCCTCCTCCCCTCCCCGAAAAGCCAAGCGACAGCGACGTGCAACTCCCCCACGAGCGGCGCAGTCTCCTGCAACCACCCGCCGCGGTACTCGCAATCATCCAGCGATGTCCCAATCTGGGTAAGTTACGATGGGGATCTTGAGAGTATGCGGGCTGACTGTACCATGTTTTCAGTCCTTCATCACATCCCGCCGAGGATTCATCAAGGAATCAGACCTCCCCTCCGGCGTCTAGACGGAAGTCAAGCAGGAGCGGGAAGGTGTCACAAGGTGAGAATGGAACGGCCCGGTGGAGAAGTTCTCCAACCCTGGGGGGGCACATGTCTGCGCCTCCGTGGATAGAACGAGCTGACTCTTGTGATAGATAATGCCTCAGCAGCTCAGTCATCGCCTCGTCGACAAAAGAAGCGCCCTTCCAGAGCCAGTCCCGACACTATTATGAAGGAGGCGGAAGAGGAGATGGAGGATCAAGAACTAAGCGAAGAACGGGATTCTTCTCCTCCAAGTGATAGCCACGAGGGAACCATCCCCTCTGGTCTGGATGACGATGACGACGAGGATGATGGGGACCTTTTCCACAACAGTCTGTTTGGGTCGCGGAGCCCCTTGGGTCTGCAAAGCACCCTCCGTGCTTTGAGCGGCATGATGTCGGGCATGTCTTCGCGTTTGCGAGATATTCTATGCAACCTGAGGATGAAGGATGACCCATCCATTCAGCTGATCGCTCTGCAGGAGCTCTCTGATCTACTACTTGTATCAAATGAGGATAATCTTTCCGGCCAGTTTTCCCCAGATCCGTATGTAAAGGAATTGGTCGCCTTGATGCAGCCAAGCGACTTCGGTGAGGAAAACCCGGAGATCATGCTTCTCGCATGTCGCTGCCTGGCCAATTTGATGGAGGCCTTACGTGGCTCCGTGGCCAATGTTGTTTACGGAGGAGCTGTCCCCGTCCTTTGTCAGAAGTTGCTGGACATTCAATTCATCGATTTGGCTGAGCAAGCTCTCAGCGTAAGTCATTCCTTGATCTTTGTTATCCGTATGCCCCTGTTTGCGTTGGCAGGCTAACTAGTTGCTGCAGACTCTGGCGAAAATATCCGTGGATTTTCCCGCGTCTATCGTTCGCGAAGGGGGCTTAACGGCTTGCTTGACGTATCTTGATTTCTTCCCAACTAGCACACAGCGTACGGCGGTCACAACAGCCGCTAATTGCTGCCGCAACCTTCCTCACGATTCGTTCCCCGTGGTTAGAGACGTCATGCCCACTCTGCTCAATGTTCTCGCAAGCAACGATCCCAAGGTTGTCGAGCAGGGCTGTCTATGTGTCTCTCGCATTGTTGAGAGCTTTAAGCATAAGCCAGAGAAGCTGGAAGAGCTCATCGAACCTGCCATGCTCAAGGCTGTGCTTCGGCTGCTGTTGCCCGGCACTACCAATCTCATCGGGCCGCACATTCATACACAGTTCCTCCGCGTGTTGGCCATCACGTCAAAAGCGAGTCCGAGACTGTCCGTTGAATTGCTCAAGATGGATGTGGTCGACACTCTTTATCAGATTCTGACGGGAGTATCGCCGCCGGCAAACCTAGAGGGCACTGCTGTCAAGATGGACAGTGTTCTTGTTATGCAAGCGCTTATTCATCGGCCCCGCGAACAGGTTTTCGAAACTCTCAATGTTATTTGTGAGCTCTTACCGGGTGCGCCGAACCGGTTCTTTCTCTCGGCGGATGGTTTGGCTGGCTTGCCTGCTGAGGGCGATGCTGCTCGCCAACCAAAATCACCCAAGGCCAAGGAATCTGAGGAGAAACGGCGCTCGTTGCTTGTGGACTGCAAGACGGAATTGAAGCGCTTCGCTATGATCTTGCTGCCAACCTTGACCGATGCTTACTCTAGTACTGTTAACCTAGAGGTGCGCCAAAAGGTCCTGACCGCTCAGCACAAGATGCTGCATAACCTAGATGCCAGCCTGATTGAAGAGGCATTGCGGACGGTCCCTTATGCGTCGTTCTTAGCGGCCATCCTCTCACAGAAGGACCACCTGAGTCTGGTGTCCTCTGCGCTGCGCTGTGCAGAGATCTTGTTTCAGCGCTTGGAGCATGTTTATCGACACCAATTCCACCGTGAAGGTGTCATTTCCGAGATATTCAAGCTTGCCGAGGGACCACTATCCACAGAAAAGCAGGGGAAGCCAGCGAGCGATTCATCGCCTGCCCAGGATGCTGCTGTGGACGCTAAGCCATCCCACGGTGGAAACGATGCGGTTGGCAGCGCGGAAGACAATGGTGGCGACGATGCCGAGGGAGGAGATGATTATGATGAGCAGGACGACGAAGACAACGACGATATATCTGAGTCTGCAAGCTCCTCATCCTTCTCCAGTCATGCCCTTTCTGCCAGAATCGAGAACGCTATGCGAGATATTGTTATCCGCGATGCTCGTGCCTTCGTTGATATCTACGAAGCCAGCCAAGGAAGAGATATGCGGGACAAGGCTTTGGAGACTTTGAACGAACTTAAGACCCTTGCGGCGCAGATTGAGGCGTTCTATGCTGGCGAAGGTGATGAAGACGGCCTTGCGCTTTTCAAAAAGCTTGCAACCTATTTTGATGGCGATGCACTGGAAAGCATCACGAGCTCGGAAGTACTCAACTCCGGTATCATCAAGGTGCTGCTCGATGTATTCGGAGATTTTCAAGGTAAGTTTTGTGCCAACCTCATTGGAGACTCCTTGCTAACCAGTCTATTAGCCACTTCCATGCGTGAGGCTCGGGCGGCTTTCCTACAAGCTTTCATGGGATCTACCATCTCAGAAAAGGCCCAGAGTCAAAGCACAGCAACCACACCCTTCAGTGTTCTCATTCATAAGCTACAGGATCTACTCAGCCGGACTGAGCATTTCGAGGTCTCCACCGTCAGCCATAATTCATTGGAGAATACGCGTAGCAATGCCGCCTACATGCTGGGCAAGCAACTCAGACTCAAGTTGGTGGCGGACGAAGATTCGGATATTCCTCGCACGTATCGAAACATCATGGTATCCATCCACGCCATAGCAACCTTTAAGGCTCTGGATGATTTCCTTCACCCTAGAATCAGTCTTACAGATCGGCCCAGACCATCACGCACGCGTGAAACAATCCTCAACCAAATCGCTAATGCGGCGCGTCTCCGGGATCAGCTGGCCGGTGGAGAGTTCCCTACTGGCGATGCCGCCGCCACGCCTCGAGCATCATCAAACACTGGGAGACCACAGCGCCCAGGAGAGACACGCTCAGGTTCCAACGATTCGCCAGCTGAGGGACGTGACCACAGCTCCCGGTCTAGGCGGTCCGGTCGGCATCAAGCTTCAGGTGAAAATGAGCACGAGAATGAACCCTTGGAGTGTGCCGATGAACGGCAAATGAGTGATGACGAGGATCCAGAAGATGACGGCGAGGACGAAGAGCTGAACGCCATGGTTGATGACTTGGAGGACGATCTCTCGGATGATAACGTCCATGACCCCACTGCCGTCAACATGGAGGTGGCATCTTCGGGTAAGGTCACTGCTCGGAAGGAAGACGGCACTCGCGTGGCTACTCCCTCGCAAACGACGCCAGCATCGAAATCATCCGCGTCTGCTTCTAGTTCTGCGCAGAATCCTCCAGGTGGCAGTTCGCTGGCAATGGCCGGGCGGCCTTTCGCCTCATATGCGGCTGCTATGGCATCGATTCCGACTGACTGGCATATTGAGTTCAGCGTGGACGGTGAACCGGTCTCGAACGAGACCACCATTTATCGCGCTGTTCATCACAACCGCCAGCACGCCGAGCCCAATGCCCGGAATGTTTGGTCTGCCGTTCATACTGTCAAATTCAGACGGGCACCAGGCCCGCCCCCACCGGAACCTTCCACGCTCACCCAAGGTACATCCGGTTCTACACCGAGGGACGATAGCAGTGATATGCCCGCGTCGCTCAGTCAAGACCAAACGACGGCATCCATCCTCCACTTGCTTCGTGTCTTGCATGAGATGAACACCACCCTTGATGATATACTTGCAGAGACTAAAGACCTGGTCGCTCTCACGCCAGAGCCATTGTCACAGTTCATCAATACGAAACTCACAGCCAAGCTCAATCGACAACTGGAAGAGCCACTTATCGTAGCAAGCAGCTGCCTTCCCAGCTGGAGTGAAGATCTCGCCCGCCTGTTTCCGTTCCTCTTCCCATTCGAGACACGGCATCTCTTCCTTCAGTCGACGGCGTTTGGCTACTCTCGCGCGATGATGAGATGGCACAACTCTCAGAACGACGATAACCGCAACGATCACCGGCGCGATGATCGGCCTATTCTCGGGCGGCTACAGCGACAAAAAGTACGGATCTCGAGAAGCCGTATTCTCGACTCTGCTATGAAGGTAATGGAGTTGTACGGTTCTTCGCCCAGCGTGCTGGAAGTTGAGTACTTCGAAGAAGTCGGTACCGGTCTTGGTCCCACACTGGAGTTCTACTCTACCGTATCGAAGGAGTTCTCAAAGAAGAAGCTCAAGCTTTGGCGTGAGAATGAGTCCGTCCACGGCGATGAGTATGCCTTTGGCAAGCGTGGCCTTTTCCCGGCACCCATGAGTGAGGAGCAAGCCGCTTCCGAATCTGGCAAAAAACAGCTTCAGCTATTCAAGTGTCTGGGCAAGTTTGTTGCCCGGTCCATGCTCGATTCGAGAATCATTGACATTTCTTTCAATCCGGCCTTCTTCCGAATCGCTGCCAGCTCATCTTCTGTTGCCCCCTCTCTTGGCACGGTCAAAGCAGTTGACCATGATCTGGCAAAATCGTTGCTTCTGTTGAAGTCGTTTGCCGACGCTAAGAAGGCCGTGGACGACAACCGGACACTGTCGAAAGCCCAGAAGGCTCAAGCGCTGCAGCAGATCGAGGTGGGTGGCGTCAAGGTTGAAGACCTGAGCTTGGATTTCACCCTGCCCGGCTACCCGGCCATCGAATTAATTAAGAACGGTTCCAACATCCCCGTAACAAACGAGAACGTTGATCTGTATGTCGAAAGGGTGATAGACATGACTCTGGGTAGCGGTGTCCAGCGACAGGTAGAGGCCTTCCGGGCCGGATTCTCTCAGGTGTTCCCCTACTCCGCGCTTCGGACGTTCACGCCACAGGAGCTTGTCATGCTGTTTGGCCGGGCTGAGGAGGACTGGACCATTGAAAGTAAGGATCCGTTTGTACATGCATTTCTGGAGATAGCTAACGGCTTTTCTGCAGCTCTGATGGACTCGATCAAGGCCGATCACGGTTTCAACATGGACAGCCGAAGCGTGCGGAATTTGCTTCAGACGATGAGTGAATTGAACCCTCAACAACGGCGAGACTTTCTACAATTTGTTACTGGCAGTCCCAAACTCCCGATTGGCGGTACGTACTTTGCGTTGTGATTATATGGGAATTATATACTAATGAATATACAGGTTTCAAGAGTCTCACCCCCATCTTCACGGTGGTGTGCCGTCCCAGCGAGCCGCCTTACACGCCAGATGATTACCTGCCGAGTGTCATGACCTGTGTCAACTACTTGAAGCTTCCAGACTACAGCAGCCTGGATGTACTCCGCGAGCGGCTGTCAGTTGCCATTAAAGAAGGCCAGGGAGCCTTCCACTTGTCCTGATTGTTGCACATAAGATCTGTTGATCTACTCAAAGTATGCTATGGAGGATCTCGAATGACGCAAAAGGAGCACGAATGAGCACTGATGGTGCGTCGGAACGATAGCTAACTACATACCCTTATGGTTGCAAAAGGGTGTATTCATACAATGCCTAGGGCACTTGTCTTTTTGGGGAGGGGGGGATCTGCGTTCGGGCCACATTTGTCTGCTTTCTGTGCCTTTGTGGGAAGGGCGTCCGGGGGTGTTGCTTCATGCTTCCATTTAGATAGAAATGCCACTCGTATCCGAGGCCGGTGAGTCTATTAGTCTGCTGATGTATCTATCTATTGATTACATAGGTCTATAGTCTATCGCACAAAGAAATGAAAGGGTATTGTTATCTCCTGTCTCCGCCTTTTTCACACTTCAATTCCGATACAGCGGCACCATGGACTACACAACACCAATCAGTCAGCCATCATCCCATCCCTCCATCAAACTCAACTCCAATGGGGAAAAAAAGAAAGAACTTACCTCCGCAAACTTCGGCTCCACAAACAATGCCCTCGCCTCCGCCACGACGGTCTCCCCTTCCTCACCCTCCCCACTACCAGAAGCAGGCATACTCCTCATCTCACCCTCCACCCACGCCTTCCTCCCCTCCACCTTAATCGTCTCCGCCTTCAGCACATACACCCGCTCCGGCAACGCCGGCTTCCTAAAATCCACATTCAAATTCGCCGTCATGCCCAACCCACTCTTGAATGAATCCGAGACGCATCTCGCGAACGCCTCATCGAACATCACGCTCAACAGGCCTCCGTGCACATACCCAGGGTGTCCGCAGAGTTGCGGCCCGATATGAAAGACCGAGATAAGGCGCGCGCGGGGAGATTCCTTGCCTTCTTTTGTTGTCCCCTCCTGGGAGGAGCAAGGTTTGCGGTTGACAATAGAAGTGAACATATACGGCGGCACCGTGACCTTGTTCGCGCCGGAGAGCGTCCCCGCGACGAAGTGGTTCGGCCGGTGCGAGGATTTCATGTGCAGATGGGGACGGGATTCTTTGTACGAGGGGTTCGAGCGCAGGGATTGCACGAGTGGGTGCGTGGTTATGAGATGTTCGGCTGCTGAGAGCGTCGATTGGGGGGTTGGGGTTGGGGGCTGGTCGAGTCGGTCATGGTAGGAGGGGAGCGTGGAGGGGGATTCGATGGCTGAGGAGGCGGCGCCGGCTTTGATGGTGCGGATTTGGGTGTGAGGGATGAGGTAGGTGGGTGGGCGTTTGGTGAGGAGGCGGGTGATGGTGGTGGTGGTGGTGGTGCGGGTGCGTGGGAGGGACATTTTTGATTGATTGATGAAGTCAATGCTGTTGGCAGTATGGTGATCTTGATCTTAGTGTGTCTTGGTGGTGGTTAGTGTTGATTATTTGATTGAGACTAGTAGTAGTAGTTTGCATGTATGTGTAGGTTTCATAGACGGGATGATGTCTGTGGTTGTTGCATACCTTTTCCTTAGTTCAACTCACATATATATAATAACCTGAGGGTACCTGCTACTGCTCGAATGACAGAAACTCAGCTTCTGCAATATGCAACAGGCAAAGGTCTAATTGCCTTCGGGCAGAACAGGGAAAAAAAGATGAAAAAAACCCTGGCCTATCCGGGAAAGTGGGCCCCCGCCCACGTGGAATTTCATCAACGTGAACTGGTCTGGCCAATGGGGGGCTGGAGTATGGCGCTAGTTGGGATGGCTTGCAGGGATGAGGCGCCCAACTTGCAGGGATCGGGCGGGTGGGGCAGATCCGGTGTGTTGGGATTGGTTGATTTTTGACGCGCCGGTGTGTTTTATTTGAGGAACACCTGTTGCTGAGACGAGGTTAGAAGGTGTTGCCGGTTCTAGGTGGTTTCCTGGTTGGGGAGGTGTCTGGTGGGTATGGTATTTAGGGGTGAGGTATTTTTAGGTTTGTTACTACGCACTTATATTGTGTATAATGTGATGGAGTCGAGGTGAATAGGGGATAATAGTAGGTGGATTTGTACTATCCTATCTCCACTTCTCTTTGCTCGGTCGAACGGAGTTTATTAGGCTATTGGTGATATACCGCTTTGATGAAGTCATACTCAACTTACTCCGTGCTTTCCAAGCCCATAATTACTACTAGTAGTAATACTTTTACAACTTCACCGCATGTTTATCCACATGGTGGGCTCTAGAAAGTTCAAGAAGCGACAACACGATCTTCCTTTTGTCGAGCTTGGTGTATGAACGATCTACTAATCCCTATTGACTCATTCTCTCTGCATGTGGTATATGAACAACTCTGTACAACGTAATAGATACAAGCATTAGAAATCCAATGGATCCACCTGGCCCAGGAATGAATTGTTGCCTTCTCCACGCAGTAACGCCTCAATGTCCACCCGTCCTGACGTGAGATACCGCTCACTCACACCTACGTTCACCCGCTGAGACAGAAGATGCTTCAACTCCGCCCGCATAGCCGCCAACTCATTCTTCGTAACTTCACCAGCCTTGCGCTGCCGTTCCTGACGCCCACGTCCGCGGCCGCGACCACGGCCCTGGGCGCTCTCAAACTCCTCGCTATCATACTCAACCCCAAGGTCCTCTGCTGCCTTTTGGAGCCAGTTATCTTCCGCGGAGATCTTCTCCTTGGCGATGTTGGAATCAGTAATCTTGGCGGCCAAGTTCACACGATCACGGACCCGGAGGACGACCCGACGGTCGAGCTCCAACGACTCAAGCGGCAATTTCTTGCCATTGGCCATGTTGGCGTGCACTTTCGCGGCTAGACGAACCACTCCGACCATTTCCTCCGGAGCGCAGATGATCACACTCTTTCCGGAAGCACCCGCACGGGCGGTACGTCCGGAACGGTGGACGTAGGTATCGGCTGCGCGGGGAGCATGGTAGTGGATGACGAAGTCAATGCCCTTGATATCAAGACCACGCGCAGCAACGTCGGTGGCGACGAGGATACTGCTGGGATTGGATGTGGGCGAGGAGAATCGCTCTACTGAACGTAGACGCGCTTTCTGGGCCATAGAGGAGTGGAGTGCCAAAGCGGGAAGGCCGAGGTTCTGGAGCAATTGGGTGAGACGGCGGACGGCGGAGATCGAGTTGGTGAACACAAGTGTCCGGTGCTTGGGGTTGTAGAGCAACAGAGTGTAGAGATAAAGATCCTAGGTTCGATTAGCATATGAATAACTTTCTGCAGCGACTGCACATACCTTCTCCATAGCTCCACATTCGACAATGCCTTCCTTGAGGCCTTCAGCCATCTGCGAGACCGGGTTGACGTCAATGAACTTGGGCTTTTCTTCGCGAAACTTCAGTTTCTGGAGGAGATATTCCATGGACTCCTTGTTGCTCATGATGTCGCCTCCCGTCCAACGCGCTTTGCCGGCTAGCTTCTGCTGCAAGTCGCGGTGGAATGTAGCGGAGAAGACCAACGTCTGTCTCTGGGCACGAGCATCCTCCTTCTCTTCGTCTTCGCTATCGTCGCCACCGAAATCGCCATCCTCAACGCGATCAAGAGCACCGAGGATCTCCTCAGCTTCCTTGAAGTGACCCTCACTGAGAAGTCTGTCCGCCTCATCAATGACAAGGAACTTGATGTCACTCATCTTGCGAATCAAACCCTGACCACTGCTAAGCACCTCCCATACTCGACCAGGAGTACCAATGACGATGTCAGCACCAGCCAGCACTCGCTGCTGCTTTTGAACGGACAGACCACCCGTAAGGAGTGCAATGCGGGCACTGGAGCCGGGGGCGTGGAGAGCAAGCTCGCCAATATGCTTAGCCAATTGGTGTGCCAATTCACGGGTGGGAGACATAATGAGAGCAATCGGGGCCGATTCCTTCTTCTTCTCTTCCTTGCCAGCGCGCAAGTCCTCCCGTTTCTTCTCAAGATAGTGCTCGAGGATGGGGATGCCGAACGCCAATGTCTTTCCGGAACCTGTCGACGCCTTGCCGATCACATCGTGGCCATCTAAGATCTGGGGAATGCAGGACTTTTGAACAAGAGTCGGTGTGGTGAACTTCATCTTCGACAGACCGGTGAGGATCTCAGGAGACAACCCAAGCGACTCCCAAGCAGAAACATCCACGCCATCGTCGTCCTCTTCATCTTGGAGTGCAGCAAACGAGAGTCCAGCCTTGATGCTCTTGTCCTCCTGGTTTGGTGTAGTCTTCTGCTTTGCTTCTTTCTTGGCTTTCTTCTGCTCCGCCTGCCTGTCCTTCTTGGCCTTCTTCTTCTCCTCAGCCGTGGGTTTGCCGGCTTCCTGCTCGTCTTTCTGGTCTTCCTTCGGTGCAGTGTCCTTCTTCTCGGTCGCTTCGTTGTCGCTGAAACCGGACCACTCGTCGTCGTCGAATTTCGGTTCTTCCTCCTCTGGCGCCTTCTTCTTCAGGATCGATTTCTTCGGTTTGCCATGTGCGGCCTGGATGATCCATTAGCACTCTCCCAACACCGCCAGTTAACACCACATACCTTGAACCGGAGTCCTTCACTTCCACCCTTGATAACCTCTACTCCATCAATTTCTTCCAATCCAAAGAAACCACCTGCATCCTCAAGTCTATCAGGCAGCGCGACCTCTTTCCAGTTAAGATCATTGACGGTGACGAGCGGATCCTCGCTCTCCTCAGCCGCGGCGACATCCTTCTTCCTCTTTTTCGCCTGCAAATCAGCTCCTTTCGAGCCGCGCTGTCTCTTCTGACCCATAATTGCAAAATGAACCCCGACCGAATACACAAAATGTAAGATGGGAGGAGAAACAAATGTCGGCAGTAAGTTGCAGCCGCCGAAGGGAAGAAAAAAAAGCGGCAGAAAGCCGCCATACCGCCCAGCACCAGTTAATCTTATCGCCGCCCCACGAGAAAATCCCCCTCAAATCCCTCCTCCGGACCATCCAAAACCTCAAATCCCACCACCACAAAATACCCCCCACCCACCGCCACAATGGGTAAATCCTCCAAAGACAAGCGCGATGCCTACTACCGTCTCGCCAAGGAACAAAACTGGCGCGCCCGTTCTGCCTTCAAACTGATCCAAATCGACGAGCAATTCGATCTATTCGAGCACGAGAACCCAGACAAAGTCACCCGAGTCGTCGATCTCTGCGCCGCCCCGGGCAGCTGGAGTCAAGTGCTGAGTCGCGTTCTGATCAAGGGCGAGAGTTTCGGTCGTCGCGCCTGGGTCGAGAAGAAGCGCAAGGAAAAGGAAGCCCTCGAACGAGTCCGCAATGGCTCAAGCACCACAACCACCTCATCAGAAGACACCGACATGACCGAACTGAAACCCCGCAAGAACGTAAAAATCGTCTCCATCGACCTCCAACCCATGGCGCCCCTCGAAGGCATCACCACCCTCAAAGCAGACATCACCCACCCATCTACCATCCCCCTCCTCCTGCGCGCCTTGGACCCTGAAGCCTACGACTCCACCTCCACCTCTTCCACCCCCTCCGCCATTCGTCCCCCTCACCCTGTCGACCTGGTCATTTCCGACGGCGCCCCGGACGTAACCGGCCTGCACGACCTCGACATCTACATCCAATCGCAATTACTCTACTCTGCACTCAACCTCGCCCTGGGCGTCCTCCGCCCCGGCGGCAAATTCGTCGCCAAGATCTTCCGCGGCCGCGACGTCGATCTCCTCTACGCGCAACTCCGCACCGTGTTCGAGAAAGTCAGCGTCGCGAAGCCGCGGAGTAGTCGCGCTAGTAGTCTGGAGGCGTTCGTCGTGTGCGAGGGATTCATCCCGCCTTCCATCCACGCTGGCACGGACGCGCTGAAGAACCCTATCTTCGGAGGCGTGGCTGTCCCGCCTCCTGTGTCAGCGGACGGAAACGTCGGAGTGGAGGTTGTCGAGAGCGAGGACGACGAGGCACGCCCCGTCAAGCTGGCCCGCTTTGCTCCGGCCGAGGCGACTCTAGGCGCTGCTTCAGCGGAGTCTAGCCAGACGGAGGCGCGGCTGCTTCACGATGACTCGTTGGCGTCGGTGACACCTACGCCGTTGGCGTATAAGTCTGCGGGTGAGAAGTTCGCTGTCGGGAACAGGTGGATTCCTAGGTTCATTGCGTGCGGTGATCTCTCGGCTTGGGATTCGGACGCCTCGTACACGCTGCCGCCGGATCATGTCAGTTTGGATCCGGTGCAGCCCCCTACTGCACCGCCTTATCGGCGGGCGTTGGAGTTGAGGAAGGAGAAGGGTGGTGCGTATGGAAAGACGAAGTTGGGTAGTTTGGGACGGGCTTGAAATTAGAAGTGGATATTAATGCGGCCGCTTCTAACGATATCTTCTTGTTTATAGTTATGGTTACGAATTTTTCCTTTTCCGTTTTGGCGGGGTAAAAAAAAAGTTGGATGTGCTTAGACTACTACTTGGCTGCTAGATGGACAAGGGCGGATGGATATAGCAGATACCCATAGATCTAAAATCTACGATAGATGATTATTATGAGAAGAGGAATAGATTCATAGAGAAAATGCAAAAGTCTATTTTGAATTGGTAAATCAGGTGTCTCTATGCTGGTATGCGCTAAGCTCAAACAGGACGGACAGATCATCACATCACATCATGTACAACGCACGGCGCTAGATATCCCCACACTTCTATGGTCATAACCTTTTTTCAACCTCCCCTTAGTACACCTCAAGGACGTATCTCTCCTCGTCCTTCAACTTCTCGATCTCCTTGCGAGAGTCGACCTTCTTGCCCAGGTTCTTGGCCTCGGTGGCAATGGCCTCCTCCAGCACGGCGGTGACATCGGGCACGGGCCATGTGGGACCGCAGAGGTAGAAAGCACCCTCCTCGCGGATGTAGGCCTGGATGATTTCAGGCAGAGTCTGGCGCATGCGATCCTGGATGTAAATCTTCTCAGGCTGGTCACGAGAGAAGGCACGACCCAGAACAGTGATGACACCGGCCTCCTGGTAGGCCTCCCACTCCTCACCATAGCAGTACTCCTCGCGCTGGTGGCGGGAGCCCATGTACAGCAAGACGGCACCAATTTCCTTGCCCTGAGCCTTCTCAAGAGCACGGTGCTGGACGAAGGCACGGAAGGGAGCCAGACCAGTACCGAGACCAGCCATGATGAGGGGCTGGGTGGACTTGGGGGGCAGCTTCATCACACTGGACTTGACGCTGACGGTGACGGGGGCACCGGGCTGGAGGCGGCTGAGGTAGCGGGTAGCCTGACCGAAACGGTCACGGCCAGTGGGGTCCGACCAGGTAACCGCAACGATCATAAGAGCAACGGTGGTGGGGGTCACCTTCTGGCAAGAAGCGATGGAGTACTCACGACGCTTCAGGGGACCGACGATACGGATCAGGTCGTGGAAGTCAGGCTTGGCCGAGGGGTACTGGAGCAGAATATCCGCGAAGGTAACGGTGTCCACCTCGGAACGGCGCTTGAATTCCACAGCTCCGTCGGGGCCACCGAGGGTAAGAAGATCGGTCTTCTCCTTCTCGTCGTCGGCGAATTCGGCCAGAGCTTCGTAGAAGCGCTTGGGCGGGCGACCGAAGATGTCGACGTTCTGGACAAGGGCCTGGTAGACGGTGCGGTTCTCCAGAACGGCGGGGTCCTCGCGGCTGGGCACCTCGACGACATCGTCGGCGTTTAGGCCATAGAAGGCGATGAAGTCCATGACATCCTTCGGGTCGTTCTCAGCGTGCACGCCCAGGGCTTCACCGATGTCATACTTGAGGCCAGAGTCACCCAAGTCGAACTCGATGTGGAAGATGTTACGATCGTAGGTGACAGGAGTAAGGCGTCTGTTCTCCTTGACGTGGACAGTGAAGGTCTTGGTAGCCGTCTCAGGACGCAGAGCATTCTTGGTGCCGTAGGCCTCCTTGAAAGCGAGACCCTTGGCAGCGGTCTGCCAGTCCTTAAGGTAGGAGGCAGGCTCGGTCTCTTCTTTGTCGAAGGACACGAGGCTGTTGGGGGAAATGTCCTTGGGGAGCTGAGCAACCTGGGCTCCCTCCTCGGGGTCCTTCCAGGCCTCGGGAACCTCGATCTGGCGGAGAACCTTCTCAAGTTCCTTGCTAACATTCTCCAGGGCCTCGGCATTACCGCCAATAGAAGCCAGCTTCTTGATGCCCACGCTCTCCTGAGAAGGCAGAGCCACACGCAAGAAAGCAACCTGAAGGACTGAGGACTCAGAGGCGGTCTCACCGGCAACAGATGGGTCGACGAAGTAAAGGGAGATGCCCCGCTCAGCGACAGCCTGGCGGAAAGCAACAGGCAGCTTCTTCTCGAGCTCATCGTCCTTCACGCCAGGGGCGTTCACGATGACCTTGCCGTTGTCCTTGACAGATGCGGCAATGTCGACGTCGCCAAGCAGCTTAACGTCTCCAACATAGGCAGTGTCGGCAGCAGTGATGGAGTAGGGGGCATCGACAATCTTGGAGCTCTTGCGGATGTCAACACGGACGACACCTCCCTGGACGAGGTTATCGTGGACCTTGTTGGTGGTGACATTGCTTGCTGAATCGGCAGCCAAGGCCTGGGAAAGAGTCGTGGCGACGTCGCCACCAACGGAGGTGTCAACATCCCAGAAAGTGTACTCCTGGACGGTGGCAGGGTCGAGCAACTGCAGAGGCTCGGACTCGGCACCAGCCTGGACAATAGGCTTCTCGTGAACCAGCTGGAAAGCGGCAGCGGTGTTGATGAGATCCCAGCGCTGAGAGCGGGCGTACTTGATGTCAATGCAAGCCGGGGTCTGCTCCCGATCGGTGGCGAAAGCCAAAGCAGCCAGGACATCCTCGTACAGAGCAGAGCGAACACCCTGCTCCTGGACAGCCTGTTCGTCAGAGACCTGGCCAAGGACACCAACAGTCTTGACAGACTTGGGCAGAACGCGCAGGAATTCCTCCTCCACGAAAGGACGGTAGACACGGACGTTGATGACACCAACGCGAACACCGTCCTTGGCCAAAGAGCGGGCAATCTGAGCAGTGAGGGATGCCTCGACGGTACCGAAAGCAACCAGAACGGAGACGGGCTCGGCGTGGCCGTGGTACTCAAAGAGGCCATAGTCGGTTCCGAGCTCACCGTTCAGGGACTGGAGGAGCTCGAGGAGCTTGCCCTGAGTGTCGAGGTGACGACTGCGGGAGTCTTCAAGGGTCTTGCGGACGGCCTCGTAGGTGCGAGACAGACCAGCCTGGTCGAGGACGTCAATGACGCGGGTCTCTTCCCGGCCGACGCGGACACCGTCATAGATGTGGACGGAGGGCAGAACGGAGGACAGAAGGGTGGTGAGCAGAGCCATGTGCTGAGACTCGTGGACAGAGGCACTCGACACCAGACCCAGGCCAAGCTCTTCGGCAAGGGAGAGGGCGGAGGCATAGTCGGAGACAAGGCCGTCCTCAACGGCATAGTCGACAGCGGCGACATGGGCAGCAACGGGGCTAGCAACGGAGTACAGGAGAGACAGCTGCTCCAGGGCGGCACGCATATAAGGGAGAGTGGCCGAGGAAGCAACAATACCCTGAGGGATGTGGCGCTTCTTCAAGTCGAAGTCCTGGGAGAAGATGTAACCGAGGGCAATGTTACCAGCACCCTGGCGAGTCTCCATGGCCTTGATCTCAGGAGACTCGCCATTGGCGTTGATCTCCTGCTTGGAAGACCATTCCCGGAGAGCAGCATCCAAGTCGAAGGACTCCGGAGAGTAAGAGAAGATCTTGTCGCTCAATACATAAGCGACTTGCTGGATGAGGGTCTGGGCAGTGACATAAGTCGGACCGCCGAGGGTCGACAAGGCTGGAGAAGGGGAGCCCATGGCGGGGGATTCTTGTCTGAAGATGGGGTAATCAGCCAGTCGATACCACCAGGATGAAGACAAGAATGACAAGAGGAGAGGAATCAGCAGCGCCGGATTGGGAGGGGCGATGGGGGGATAAAAAGCCCGTCGCCGCCGCCGCTCTATAGAAAATCCCAGGGGATCTTACCCCATCCGGCTAGTGGCAATCACGCAATTTCTTATCGATAGATCCTGGAGGCGGGATCCGGTGGCAGAATATCTCCGCTTTCGGCCTTCCCCGCATTAGTCAGTTAAGGTATCCTGAGGCATCAGCAATCTGGACCCGCCGATAAGTGCTGATTACTCATCCACGATAAGTCGGTAGAAAACGTCATCTCATCCTCCTTACATGTAGTTATCCCTTCCTGCACCAATCCTATTTTGTATATAACAGCTGCTAGTTTAACATGGCCAACGTCGCACTGATCGGCTGCACCGGCATGGTGGTAAGTAATCCATCCTACATCTACCCTAGTCAAACCTAGTCCCCTCCAGCACAAGTCATCCCTTCAAATCCGCCATGATGTAGTCCCCAACCAAAAAGCAAAGCCATCTAATATATTTATCTGCAGGGGAGCCACATCCTCACCCACCTCCTGGGCAACTCCTCCGTGGCACGCATCGACACTATCTCCCGTCGCACCCCTCAACCCGCCACTGCCGCGCCCCAAGAAAAGCTCACCACCTTCGTGTCCGACGACTCCTCCAAGTGGGCTTCGCAGCTCTCCTCCCTGACCCCAACTCCAGACATCTTCATCTCCGCATTTGGAACCACCCGAGGCGCAGCTGGTGGCTTTGAGAATCAATACAAGATCGAACATGGTCTGAATGTTGAGCTGGCCCGTGCGGCGCGCGACGCCGGCACCAAAGTCTACGTGCTGATCTCGTCGACCGGCGCTGACAAGGACTCATCCTTTGGATATCCCCGGATGAAGGGTGAGATTGAGGAAGAGGTGAAGGCGATGGGATTTGAGAGGACAGTCATCTTGCGCCCTGGACTTATCTCCGGAGAGAGGCAGGAGAGTAGGCCTGCTGAGGCGGTGATGCGGGGCTTTGCGGGTCTTGTTGGCAAGATTCATTCTGGGCTGAAGGATGGATGGGCGCAGGATGCGGATGTTATTGCGAAAGCGGCGGTTAATGCGGGAGTTAAGGCTTTGAATGGCGAGGTTCCGGCTGGCAGTGAGAAGGTGTGGGTGATGTATGGGAAGGATATTATTCAGTATGGGAAGGAGTAGTAGCCTGTTTGAGAAGAGCTATTGTACTATGAACTATTTATATACGCTATCTGCAGTGCTTTAATGAGATAATTTTCGGTTCGGATTTCCTCTATTTCAGCAATGAAGTGACAATACTACTAATAGCAATTACTCTCTCAAGCCTGCGAGATATGTATATCCCACTGAAGATCAAACAAGCTTCTTATTATATCCAATACCATACACAACCCAACCCAACAAACAAGCACTTTCAAACACGCACAATTTAAAAAACCAAATGCAAAGTCTATACAACAACCTCAATCCTTCAATACTTCCTATTCCCACCCCTCACCTCACGGTTCTTCTTCGTCCACCCCCTCGAGCTGGGCCCCTCCTTTTCAGCATTATGATCGGGACCTCCCTCCTGGGGCGGCCTCGCATGACTGACTTCCGAGTTCCCAGGAC